ATCATAAATGTTAGCACTGAAAATAAGGTAAATAATTACAATTGCAATGATCAACCAAAATGTAAATATTTTAATGTAAGAAGAAACTTAGCTAAAAGTTCTTTTTTTGTCTCTTTTATTTGTAAATGGTGTATCCTGACAATGCACTGTTCTCCAGTGCACTGCTCAGAGAGCCCAAATGCTGGGTTAACACAGCCTATCTGCCCTTGGACTGAGTGANCCCTTCCAACTCTGTTATTCTATTCTATTCTAATTGTCCCTGAAGAGCGAGGAGGAGGAAGTTAAGAGTTTCAAAACTGGCCTCATTACTTTTCTGCTGGAGACAAAGCACCCCTAACCTCCTTCATCCCCATCTACCCACCATCACTCCTTATAAAAAAAAGAAAAACCAATAACCAGGATCAAGTACATCCAGACAACTTCTAAGAAAAGATATTCAAAGCCTTAAAGCCCAGAAGAAGAAACTAGAGAAAATGATTTGGCAAGCTGCCCATTTATATTATCTTACCAGCAGCTGATGATCTTGATGAGGCAAAAATAGATCTCCTGGAACGCATCCCTACTGATATATGGCCAAGGCAAAGAAGTCGGTTGGATTGCCCCTCCTTCGAAGGGATAAGAAGAGGGGTGGAGTTTCCTGCTTCCCCAGCGTTCAATGAATAATGCAAATTCAATGCTACTTTAATTTGTTCCTTTTTTTAAAAAAAAAAAAAGAACCCTTTCAAGAGAGTTCTCTCGATTCAGGTGATATGATACTCATGGTCCATAATTCCCGTCTCTTCCATTATCTGCCTTCCCTTGACCAAGGAGTATATATTGTATTATAACAACAGGACCTGGGACTTACAGTATATCACAGAAGTGAGCACACACACACCCCTCACATTTTGCAAATATTTAAGGATATCTTTTCATGTGACGACACTGAAGAAATGACACTTGGCTACGATGTAAAGTAGTGCATATCCAGCTTGTATAACAGTGTAAATGTGTTGTCCCCTCAAAATAAAGCAACACACAGCCATTAATGTCTAGACTGCTGGCAAGATATGCTTAAATATTTATAAAATGTGAGGGGGGTATACTCACTTCTGTGATATACGTATATGTACCCCCCCCCCTCAAAGTGCTTTACAATTTCAGCATATGGCCCGTAGCACGCAAGCCAACTTGAGCCCTTCAAAACATCATAAGCAAACCAAAAGACTCAACAACACCAGATGAAGAAAAACAGGAGTCCTCTACAACAGGGGTCTCCAACCTTGGCAACTTTAAGACTTGTGGACTTCAACTCCCAGAATTCCTCAACCAACTTCATTGGCTCCCAGGAACTCTGGGAATTGAAGTCCACAAGCCTTAATTTGCCAAGGTTGGAGACCCCTGCTCTACGATATACATTGTCAGGACTGCAACAACCAAGATGTAGGACGAACAGGCAGAAGACCGGCAGAATGCATCCACGAACACCAACTGGCTGTCGGAAGACACAACGAAGATTCTTCAATTTCAGTAGACAGATTTAACCCGCGTTTCAATTGGGAAAATGTGACCATGCTAAACCAGGCCGAGCCCAAAAACATCAGGGGGATTTCTAGAAGCCCAGCACTCTGGCAAATTAGCCATCAACAGACACATAGACATAAATAACATCTACATACCGTACAAAAGAGACCATCAACCAGCCCAAAAGAGAACAAAAAGACTCCAGCACCTCTCCACTAATCGTCAGCACCCAGGTCAACATCGATTAAGGTTAACATCAGATCAACGCTCAAGTAAGCAATACCCCAATTAAGAAACTGCTAACAAGCCTACAGTGAACAGCCCCACCAAAGACCCTCTAAGACCAACTCCACCATAACACTGAGAGTAAACTGCACTCCTTACTGGCACTGATTATGTTACCTACCTGCAGAAACCTCTGCAAGAAAACAAGCAAGCTCAGAGAGCACCAAGGACCCCCCACCCCACCCCAACAGTCTGGATCCTCATTTTACTAGGATGGAAAGCTGAGTCAGCCTTTAGGTTCAGTTAGACCACAAGACATGGTCTTATCAGACACCAGGCCGTTAAATTGCAACATGCTCAACCGCTTGGCCAACAAGCAATACAAGGAATCTTGCAAATGTCTATCAATGGTGGCCCCTTCAACTGCTCCATTAAGGTTCAGGTCTTCTCCAGAATAGCTCCTAGGCGGCTTTTAAAGCATAAAATCATACATTTTAGCCTGACAGCTAAAAAAATCTCTGGAAACCGAACTTTTAACAAGCTATTTGAAATTTTAACGCGAGGAGGTTGAGGTTCAGACAACGCAACTCAACTGGGTTGAAACGGTTGATGTCGAGTCACTTGTGATTCAGCTTGGCCCAAGACGCTACGTGCTATCTTAAGCACCACTCCGGTGTCATTTAGAGAACCAGAGTGACTTAAGAGTCTAGCCCAGTGAGTAAGAGGCATATGGTTCAAATAGTTGCAAATAAATAAACCGGGTATATTACATTAAACCACCCTATAGTTTTGCTCAACTACAGCATATTAGTTGAATGCAAGTACCCTTTGTTCTCTGGAGCGTAAGGTTAAACAGGTTGTGTGAATCCAGCCAGAAGGTCTCCCTATGAGTCTGCTCCAATCCCACCAGATTATAGCAATAGCAATAGCAGTTAGACTTATATACCGCTTCATAGGGCTTTCAGCCCTCTCTAAGAGGTTTACAGAGTCAGCATATTGCCCCCAACAACAATCCGGGTCCCCATAAAGCCCTTCGTGGTATTGGACCTGGGTACTTGAGAGACCGCCTGCTGCCAATTACCTCCCACAGACCCATTAGATCTCAC